AAAGAAAGAAAGAAAGAAAGAAAGAAAGAAAGAAAGAAAGAAAGAAAGAAAGAGCAAGCCCACCCAGCTTTCATTCTGAATTGAAGACTGGGAAGCCTACCTGGGATGAGCTTTGGCCACTGCCTTTGGGGATCCTCCGACGGCATATGGGATAGGGACAGACCAGCCAAGGCCTGGCACATTCCCTGCAGGAGAACCCTGGAAGGAGCAGGGATAGTGTGTGAATCACTCAAGCTGGCAGAGGGAGACCTAAGACTTCCCTTTAGCTGAGCTCCTAAGGAGGAAGTATGATGCTTAGGAGGAGCTCCAGACATCTGCTCTGCTCGCCTTTCTTTCTTTCTTTTTTTTTAAAGATTTATTTATTTTTTTATTATGTATACAACATTCTGCCTCCATGTATGCCCGTGCGCCAGAAGAGGGCACCAGATCTCATTTCAGATGGTTGTGAGCCACCATGTGGTTGCTGGGAATTGAACTCAGGACCTCTGGAAGAGCTGCCTATGCTCTTAACCACTGAGCCATCTCTCCAGCCCCTCTGCCCTCCTTTCTTGTTCTTGCAACAGGCTGCTATACATCTCGAGATACACTGATGAGTTTTACCCCAATCACTGTGGAAGTGTCCAAAAGTATCTCAAACATCCTGGAGCAAAGCTGAGTGTAGTGGTGCACATCTTTAACCCCAGGACTCGGGGGGCCGAGGCAAGTGGATCTTTGTGAATTCAATGCCAGCCTGGTCTACAAAGCGAGTTCCAGGACAGCCAGAGCTACATAGTGAGAATTGTCTTGAAAAAAACAAAAACCATGGCCAGGCATGGTGGTACACACTTGTAGTCCTAGAAACTTAGGGGTGAGGGCAGGATTGGTGCTTGTGAGTTTGGGGCCAGCCTCCTGGGTTCCAGGCTACCCTGTGCAAGTGTGGTTACTGTGAGACTGAGATTCGGCCTCCTTTCAAAAAAGAAAAAAGACCCTGGAGCTGGGCACATGTAACTCTGGGGGTCTGAGGTCAACATGGCCTACAGAGACACAGTCTCGGAACCCAAGTGGCAATGACAGAAAGGACGTGCTATTACCTGCCTCATAAAGGAGAGTCCTATGTGGAAAAGTCTGCAAACAGGCTGGCATGGGAATTCATCAGGGGACAGTACTGGACTGGCGTTACAGACCTAGGAAGGTCATTTGAGCCCAGCCAGGGCAACCTGCAAAACCATCTAAAACCATGAAATAAAATTGGATGTTCACATTTGCCCATTCTACTACACTGCTCATCTGTGGGGAGTAGTCCCCCTCTAAAAGGGGCCACACTTCTAGCATACCTGTGGGGGTGTTGCCTTTGACAAAAGGGGCTATGGTATTTGAAGCCCTGAAAGCCTCATCCAAATATGACCAGCCAATGCCCAAACCCTAGGAGGGATGAAAAGATCTGTTTTCCTGACGTACTAGGGATGGAGCCCAAAGCCCCACACATGCCATTCAGCCATGCCAGCTGTGCCAGCTTCAGACCAACACTGGAGCTGTGAGGAAAAGCCACCACATCTCTGGCAAGAGAGCACTGTGCAAGGTTGAGACTGTCACTGCAGAGTGACCTACAGTCATGTCCTCTGTGGAAATGGCTGCGAGGCCAGCAGG